GCACCGTGCGCACAGTGTGCATGAGGCAGTGCACTGGCAGTGTGGCCAGTGCAGTGCGAAGGAGCATAGGGTGCTAGCACAGATGCACAGGGTGCTGGCAGGGTGTGCGCAGGGGGCTGCCAGCACCTTCCCTGTGTGTGGGGGCTGTGCGTAGGCAGCGAGTTTGCCGTGCAGGGTGGCAGGCCGTGCCCTGGCAGCATGGTCAGTGCCGTGTGTGCAGGGGCAGGGTGCATGGCTCTGTGCTGGCAGGGCCGGGCGCCCAGGGCAGTGCCCAGCAGTGCACAAGGGCAGTGCAGTGGCGCAGCACGGGGCACTGCACAGCCGCGCGCTGGCAGCGAGCACACAGCGGTGCCTGGCAGCACGCTCAGCACAGGGCAGAGCGCTCTCAGTGCCCAGGCACATCCTGGCAGCGCCCACGGGCTCTGTGCTCCCAGGGTCCACGTGCAGCGCAGCGCGCTGGGCAGGGCCCCGCTGCAGGCACCGCACACGCTGCACACGGCCAGTGACCCAGTTGCTCAGCCTTCCCTTGGGCCCTCTCCATGCAGCGCAGCCCAGGTCACGCCATCTCGGCCGTGCGCAACAGCACTCTTACCCTGCTAACCCCAGCGTGGAGCTCCCTGCGCCGTGTCCCTGAGCAGCGCCCTGCAGTGGCACCGCAGGCCCCGTGGCAGCGGGTGCTGGCAGAGAGGGCTGTTTCACGGGGCAGGGCTGGGTGCTGGGCAGGCAAAGGGCCGGACGCCAGCCCCAGGCCCAGAGTGGGGACGGAGGCAGCCGGGTGTTGGGTGCCTGGGGGCAGTGCGTTGGCATTGCAGGTCCCATTGGTGCTGGCGTGTTGGAGGGTCATGTCTGGCAGAGATGTCTGTGCGTCGTGGACACCCCCGTGGGGTTCGACATGGCAAGGGTGAGAGACCAGTGCCCACCAGGGGTGCGGGCAGGCAGGGCTGGCAGGGAGAGCCGGGCCCTGCTGCTCGGGCAGGGGGAGCGGGTTCAGATGCCCCCATGGCCCACGTGGTGCTGGGTGCCATCCTTGGGGAAGGCGGCGTCCGCGGGGCGCCGGCGCCCTCCGTGCCCGGCAGTGCGAGAGGGAGCCCCCGCAGCGCGTGGGCGCTTGCAAGCAGCGCCAGCCGCCCCCGCGGCCCCCGCGCACCGCACGGCAGGGAAGAGGTGGGAGAAACCATGGCAACCTGCGCGGCGCCGGGGATGCCCGCGCCTGCACGGAGCCCTGCTCCCCGCGCGGCTCCCCCCCGCCCCGGCCTTGGCAGCCCTGCCGGGCGGCTGGGAGCAGGACGGGCATGGGGAGCACACGTGTCCCTTCTGCAGGGACAGCGGGTGCAGCTTGGTAAGCAGTGATGGGGTTGGATGTTGTTGCAGCTGACCCTGATCCAGGTCAGTCTCCCTGGTCACAGCTGGGGTGACAGCATCAGCCCCCCGCTGCAGTGGCCTTGGATCAGGCATCTCATGCTGGAGTTGCAGTGCCTCAGGTGGCCTTGGCACCGTGACGCCGGTACCAGGTCACCTGCCCACGTGGGTTTCCAGGATTCCTCATGTGCCTCTCGTTTTGCAGTGCTGGAATGGAGCCATCGCAGGGCCCTCTGCCAGCTCCGCCTGCCCGCCCCGTCCCTGCTGTCGCCGGACCAGGTAGGATCTTGGCACCATGGGCCAAAGCGTGACCGCCTGCCCGCACACTGCCCGGCCCGCGGGGACGGCCTTGCCCCCGGCCCCAGCACTGCACTGGGAAGGAGGCAGCAGCTACCCCAGTGGGAGATGCTCCCTCCCTGGGCCCCGAGTCCTCCCAGCTGCCGCCCCACGAGCCCCAGTGCCAGTGACCCAGCAGAGCCCTTCCCGCTCAGCCACCACGGGACCAAACCTGCCGCCTCCTGCCCCCGTTCCTGCTGGGTCCCCATCTCCTCCCAGCAGGCAGCCCCAATCCCTGGAGCAGGTTTCCAATGCAGGTCGTGAGGCTCTGGCTTCACCAGCTGCTCCGGGCTGTCTCCGTGCTGGAGGTAGCTGGGGGCACATGTGCTGCACCCCAAAGGCAGCTCCCAGCCTTTTCCAGACTGGCAGCTCCTCCTGGTAGCTGGATGCCCCAAACCCTTCCCCGGTACCGACCCCTGGCATGGCTTCCCCCAGCCTCACCAGCTCCATCCGCCTCCCAGCTTCAGTACAAGACAGGTCTTACCAAAGTAGAGAGCTGGAAACAGTCTGCAAGTGAAAAATAAACCCGCCTCCTCCATGTAGTCGATACTGCTTCTTGCCGAATAAAGTCTGTTCCTTTTCTCCCTCAAACATGTTCCCTGTGGTCCTCTGCTTCTGTTTAAAGTGAAATGCATTTCAATGGCTTTTGTCTTGTACCTTTATTTATGAAATAACCAGCTCTCGACCTGTGCTCTGGGGCCTTTTGGTCAGGTAGCCAAGAAAATTATCCTTAGGATCTTAGGAAACTTAAAGCAGACTGGGCATCACCTGGTGAGAGAACAGCTAGTTGTGTGTTTGCCTTGGTCAGACCATGGCCACCAATCCTTTGATCCTTTGTTTGTCCTCTCCCCATACCTGCCTGATGTCCCCTGGACCATGTGGATGCCAGCCTTCATCACAGACTCATCCCACGAGTGGAAATGGAGCTGGACACCTGGTGGGGTCGGGTACCCGGGCCCCCATGGGAGCTGCAGAGGAGCCTCCATGGAGCAGCTTGGTCGTGAGCTGCATCTGCCCCCGGGTGTGGGGTGAGCCCACGAGCCCCCAGCTGGGGCACTACAGGCCCCAGGGCCACCCATGGGCATGGGCTACCGTGTGGCAGCCTCCCCTGCCCTGCTGCTGTGGCTGATGCTGTTTACCTAGGCCTGGCAATCGTCTTCCCCTTGCCTCCAAGTGAGTCTGTCTTAGGGAGGGGAGTTGCATAACCGCCCTGTTTCCCACCCTGCATCCAGCCCTGCCTGCTCCTCCACCCCGACTCTCCATGTGAGATGTGTCCTCAGGCTGCAGGACAACCTGAGGTGCAGGAAAAGGCAAATCCAGAGGGTCTGGAGTGAGCAGAGCCCTTCTGGCACCAGGGTGCCGCAGGCTCCTGGCTACCAGTTATCCCTGATGTGCGCTGGGCTGTCCCGAGGGCTCGGTCCGCTCTGTGACATGGTGCCAGGGAAGTGATGAAGGTCCTGCATGGGGCTGGGACATCAGCCACAGTGTCCTCTGGTTGAGCCATGCCGGTCTGGATGGACCGCAGGGAGCAATGCGGACACAAGCAAGACCGATGTTGCTTCAGAGGGGTGTTCCCAGGTGGTGCCTCTGCCACAGGGAAGCGACACAGCTCTAGAACCTCCAGCAAAGGTTGTCCCCAGGACTGCGTGGCTGTGGCAGTGAGCGTTCACCGTCACCTGACTGCTGGGCAGTGCCCCAGGTGTCCCGCGTGCCGCTCGGCTGTGTCGCGCAGAGTGTGCTGAGATGAGGACACCTGCGCGCCCAGGGGGCCCCACAGCTGCTCCGCTGGTCACAACAGGCTGCCAGGCCCAATCTCCCTATACCTTAAGGAAAGGGATCCCTGGCTGGGTTCCACCCACCCTGTTCAAAGCTGCCCATGGTGCTGCTGGGGATCCCTGCAGCCTCCCCAAACCAGGACAGAGCCGATTCTTGGGGGCCTCCAAGGTGGTTCTGGCTCTGCCCAGGTCCCACATCCTGACTCTGGGGACCAAGCGCCTGCTGGGGCACCACGGTCACGGCTTCCTCGTGCTGGTGTAGAGATGACCACACTCCCCGCTGCCCCCGTGGAGGCTTAGTTGGCCTGCAGGCACCCTCTCGTGCAGTCGTCTTTATTTGCGCGCTGGCATTAGAGCCTGCCAAAAACGCAGCTTTCACCTTCTCTCCAGCTAGGCTCAGGCTCTTGAAAGCACCTGTGGAAGCCAAGACTTCCCTGATGCTTGGAAGGGATCAAAAAAAACTCCCTGGGCCAAGAGGCATTGAGTTGTATCCTGTGTCTACAGAGCTCCCCTGCAGTCCCTGCGGGCCCGGCTGGGATTTAGGCCCCTTCTCTGTTCTCTTGCAGGGCTGGCTGCCTTCCTCTGAGGCACTCTGAAGGGGAGCTGGCGAGAGCAGAGCCACTTTTAAGATGACACGAACCGACCCACCTGACATACTGGTGTCTACGGTATACCAAGACATAAAGGTGGCCACCGCAGCCCCCAGGGATTCGATCGTCTGCCAGCCCCTGGCACGATGTGACGCCTTCATGTCCGCGTCCCTGCCCCGCGATCCGCAGCCCTTCAACAA